TTAATGAACCGACAAGTCGGATACAATCATGACAGTTTTAACCATTTTTTCGTCAGGGAAAATGCCCTCACTGACATGCATATGTGTTACCATGGTTACATGTATGCATTAGCATAAATAGGTTATGGGATATACATGGCCTTTATCAGGATCAATCAGGAGATTGTAGACAGATTTCATGATCAGCAGTTCGATATATTATTGGTGTAGCCGTTAAACTATAACAAAGACAACTTACAGTGGTTACTTAATGTTTAGCTAGGGTTTTGATGTAGGTTGAGGGTTGTTAGGTTGAGGTTGTTAGGTTGAGCAGACTTATGGAGCTGCCTCTCTACACAAGCCTGACAACCTCATTAAAACTCACTAAACCTGTGGGGAGGTGTCACTTTGAGAGTCAATCTCCCATTGGAGAATGAGAGGAAAAAACTCAAGACTGCAGCTGATACAAAAGAGTTTTAACTACAAAGACTGATCTTAACATCTATCCACTGGCCTCGCTGTTCTTTTTCTGTGCTCCTGTCTTTTTTATTGGTCTTGAATTAGAGCAGTGGCCGACATGTCATCCACTGAAAACTAATCAAACTGAAACCAGTTAGAGATCTTGTGTTTGCATTGAGGATCCTATATTTCCTTCTTTTACTTGACATCCAATAAGATGGTCTGAGGCCATTTTTTTGGGTGAAGGGGAACATCACAAATTGTTGTCTGTCTCCTGTTTCCTCACAGCAAAGACAGGTGCATGGAGACAAGGAGGAATTGAAAGCGGCACCACAGTTTCCTCCCTGGATCTATACCTTTTCCATTTCAGCCAATCTATACCAAAACACTACAAAATTTCCAGTGAAATCTGCACAGTAGATCACTCTCAATGCTACCATTTTTTATTTTATTTTTGCCTTTACTCGACAATCGACATTAAAAGGACAGACAGGAAACAGCTTTATCACATTAAAAGTAAATTTCCGGTGTGGCTGCATTTGTCTGTTTAAATCTATGAGTATTTTAGCCTGTCACCTTTTATTTTCAGAAGTATTCCATGAGCTGGTCAACAAACCTGGGGACACAGTACACAGTAATGGTGCATTTGGTTAGTGTATCCAGATGAGAATTTTCTGAGTTGACTCTAACTTGCCTGGCAGGTCAGGTACCTGCGTACCTGCTGGTGCCTTATATTTTGAAAGTCATTGACACAAGTTGAACTTTTGACCCCGTTGTCACATTCGTCACCGGCATGGACTCCAGCGATGAAACTTTGCAGCCCGAGAGTGAGGTGGTAGGCTACACTGAGTTCAAGACACCCAAGGAGAATCCTTTTGAGGTTTTATGATGGTGGAGGGAGTATGCTAAAATGTTTCTTAACCGAAGTGATGTGTAAAATGTTTTTGCCATCCTGGGATTAAACACAGCCAGTGAGACTTATTATCTGCTGAATTTGTAATTCCAGAAAGGAGAACCCAGCTTAATGTGAGTGACTGTATCCTGTGTGTGTGTTTAATCATGGGTGTGGGTCGGGTCTACGGACTTTTATTAACGGGTGTGGGCGGGTGCAGCTTTGACTTAGACATCATGGGTAACGGGTCAGTTCTGGTTCTGAGCTTTACGTGTATGGGCGGGTGCGGGTTTTCAAAAGTGGACCCATGCAGGACTCTGTAGCAGGCCACCTGTTGATTTTTGTAAACTGAAAACCATTTCCTTCAGTGGAAACAAAGCTTTTATTTACTTTTATTTCATAGATAAGAAACAATAAATTATTAAGGCAATAAAGCCCCTACAAAATAGCATGTGAGGTCTTGTGTGTGACTTACCCTAGCTTCATATGAATCAAGGAATCTGCACTAGCTGCTAGGCTAGGGCTGACCTTCGAATCCATTTATGGACATTCGAAGCTTCGGAGCTCAGAATGAATTTAATTCGAAGGATTCGACGACGGGAGGGTTTAAAAAAAAAAATTATGGCGAAAACACTAGAATTAAGATAAAAATATTCACAAACAAAAAAAAAACACTAATGGTCGGTGATAAGTAGTGTTTAACTTTTGATTGAACACTAAATTAAAACCTTCAGTGCACACTGCAGCACAATCAAACAGATGTGCAACTCAGAGCATCAGAAGTGTCTCTGACACCAGACTCAGAACGGACCGGTGGAACTGGAAAATGCATATTTTACACCAATAAAATCTATTTTATCATTATTTTGAGTCACATTGTTTTTAGAATTTTTTAAGAGTTTTAGAATTTAGTCGTCTGTGTTCAAGCAGGATAATAGCAGGTCTCCATTGTGCGTCGGGCTTTCTATTTCTTTGTCGGAGATTTTTTCTTTTTTAATTACATGATATAGGCCTATAGGCTATTCTCCCTTAACTCACCAGTAAAAAATACCTTTATCCATTTCAAATAACCAGTGGCAATAATATCCCCATTCTCTGATTTACTGTGAAACATTTTTAGGCAATTCATGCAAAAATCAGACCAGATGACTCCTTTACACGGCCTAATGGGGCCAGCCTTTATTTGTCAATCAACCAAAAACAATCAATAAATTAAAAACACAAAGTGGACCTGGAACATGAGCTCTTATAGGCCTAACACATCTGATGACCTCTTGGACATTGTCTGCCAGCTCTGAGTGCGCTCATTGTCAGTATCGGACTGGTGGGGGTTAGTGTTGCATTAAAAAAAAAAAAAAAAAAACGGGAAAAAAAAGCGCAGAAGCTTCGAATTTTTTTTTCACAATCGAATCTCGTGCCATCGAACAAAGCTTCGAATCTTCTAATTTTTTGGGTCAGCCCTATGCTAGGCTAATTTATACAATGGAAAATGTAGTAGGCTTATGCTAATAACATTAGTATAAGCCTTTTATTGTACATGTAAGGTAAACGTGTTTAGCGCAAGACAATTGTTTTGTAGGTTAACCTTGTGAGTTATAATCGATCCGAAATTTGTAATGTTACCTTTGTTAAATGTCACTGTTGGTCCTTGCTTCATTTGAGTAGAGGAAATTACTGCTAGCCACTAGGCTAATTTGTGCAATTTAAAATGTCATTCAGTGTATGTCATATCGCATACTTCTGTAGTAAACACTCCATATTTTGAGTGCACAGGTGTGCTAAAAGCGTTGACACCGCATAGAACGGGAAAATTCAGTGTACTACTGGTGCACTCAAAACTGTCTTAAAGTTGAGTGTGGAATGATAGACATTTCTCACCTTCAACAGTCACCATCTTTGTGATGAAGCTGGGGACAACAAGGAGCCTGAGCTGGCTACAGTGAACATCACAGATGTAAGTTATACAGATGTAAGTTATACATGTATTTACATTATGTGCCAATACTGTTGTCGAATGGAAGCTCATAGGTCAAATGTTGGCGGTAATGCTCTACCGTCTGTTTGCAATTCTCTGTTTAAAGAGTAGATGATGATGAGGAGAAGAAGAGGCAGTTCAAAAAAAAAAAAAAAGAAAAAAACTGTCATCACCTCTGGGAAGTGCAAAATGGCAGTGCGAGATTTGAACACTAACCTGTTGAAATTAGTGCACTACACAAGAAGAAAGTAGTGTGCACAGTGTACTACATTACTGTGCTTGGCACTGTGGTTTAAAGTCTCTATGAAGCCATGTTTTATGTGTGTTTTAGGTGTGTTAGTTGAGTCATCAGACTTAACAGCACTTCACTATAACTCAACACAGTGGCATAGAAGACACATCGCCAACTAACTAATAAATCAGCCCTAAAACCAAATGCCACACAGATACATTCAGTAATGAGCAGGTGGAGTCAAACATTAAGGAGCAAAATGTTCACTGAATATATGGGACAGATGTGTCATTCACTACTGAAACAACAATGCAATTCAGTCCTATAATCAGATTGGTTTAGAACAAAACAAAAGGAGTGTGAATATTGGATTTTTATTTATCAGGTGGACACAAACGCGACTGAGACAATTGTTATGGTTATCATGCATGTGGTTGCTGTGTAGAATTTATTTTGCCCCCTAATGACCAATATGCGATGAATGCAGCTGTAACATGAACATGGTATTTAAATGTGTTTCTAAATATTAGAAAAAAAGCATACTCTCCCATCTGTTCACTAGTAGTCAAAAATGCTTGTCAGTATTTGCCCATATGCATATAGAGCAAATGTGGGATTATTGCTTAGTGGGCATGACGAGACATGAAACAGTGAGAAACGTTTTAATAATGTAGTTTTCTCTTTTGAAGCCATTCAGTAGTAATGGGATACCTCCTGCCTCTGGCACTATGCCAGCGATCAATAGGCTCTAACAAACTGCTGCCTATTTTGCAATGGCTGTCATAGCTCTTGCTTCACACACTGCTATAAATCACTTCCTCCTCTAGTCAGATTCAGTAATACATCACGCTCCTCCTCTCACCTTCTGGGTTTCATAATGCATCACATCCTGCTAGCAATTCTGTTGCAGTTTTACGTCCTTTGGGCTGAACAGCTCTGAGTTTAAGACAGTCTGGAACTCAGCTCCAGTTATTGGCTCACTTAGAATAGAGCCAGTTCTCTAAGGGGGCAGAATAGCCCAATCATTTACTTAATAAATCCAATCTGAAATGTGTTGCTCAAACTGAAATTACGGAACATTAGTGCTTTCAATGTATATAGACGAAATGACTAATAGAAACATTAAAGGTGTAAAAATGAGATGAAATTAAAGCCAGTGCAAAAGGCCACCCCTGAGGAGCTGGGCTGTGGACCAATAACTCAGTGAGAAGGAGGGAAAGGTTCCTATTTCAACTCTTTGTACACTATCTAGCAGTTATGTTTTTTCACCACAGACATATCAATGCAAATACATTCAAGTCAACACAGAGTAACAAAATGTTCTTTTTAAAAATAAGTACATTACACTGATAAATGACAGTATGTACACTTTCTGTATATGGGGAAGCAACTTGAGAGTGATTCTTGCATTTCATGGTCACATTTGCCATGTGTTCCATGAAGAGGGTGAAGATGGTTATTAAGTCATTTCATGTGTTGCTGTTTTTGTGTGTGTGTGTGTGTGTGTGTGTGTGTGTGTGTGTTTGTGTGTGTTTTGCAGGAAGGAAAGGGGGCGTGTCTCTCTTTTCTAGTAGGGAGTGAAGCGACTGCACCCTCCTCTGTAAAGGCTAGCCTGCAACATCAAAGATGAAAAAGCCCCAATCAGTATTCAGTGTAGAACTTTTTAAATATTAATATTGAAAATGAACTTCTCTCTTTCCTCCAAAGAAACATTCCTCCCTTTTTCCATTTGTCTTTTGTTTAATTGAGAGGGATTTATTTCACAAGGTAGTTTGGAAATTTGTGAAAAGAAATAATGTAATTATATGTGTCTGACTGTTGCATATACAGTGGTTTGCAAAAGTTTAAGCACCCCTGGACAAAGGTTTGTTTCCTGTGAAATGTAAAGTCGGCATTCATCCCACTTTGGATGGAGCTGCTCTCATATCGAGAAACCTGGCCAAGTTTATTAGTAATTCAAAACCCTGACAACCCAGAGTTGAGACCAGGAATGAGAGTTGCAGTCTTACATGCTTCTCTGAGCTTCTAGTGCAGTTACCAACCCATAGTTTTATACAAACGGTGTCTGTCCCCCGACCACCTACATTAACTAAATCAAAAATTAACAAAGAGGAGTTGTGCATAACAACCTAATAAAAATTAAAACATCTTCTGTGACAGAAAGACAAACAGGAGAATGAATTAAATGTGGACTGTTAAATATCAGGTCTCTAAAGCAGTGTTAGTAAATGAATTAATATCAGATAATCATATTGATTTACTCAGCCTCACTGAAACCTGGCTATGTCAAGGTGAATATGTCAGTCTCAATGAATCCACTCCTCCCAGTCATAATAATACCCACATTCCTCGAGGCAGCGGCTGAGGAGGGGGAGTTGCAGCTATTTTTAACTCTAGTCTGTTAATTAATCAGCCCTAAACCTAAACTAGATTATAATTCCTTTGAAAGCCTTGTTCTTAGTCTTTTACATCTGACCTGGAAAACCTCACAGCCACTTTTATTTGTTATAGTGTACCGTGCTCCTGGCCCGTATTCTGAATTTGTATCTGAATTCTCACAGTTTTTATCCAGTTTAGTTCTTAAATCAGAAAAAAGTTATTATTGTAGATGATTTTAACATTCGTGCTGACGTTGATAATGACTCCCTGGCTACTGCGTTTATCTCATTATTAGACTCCATTGGCTTCACTCAGGGTGTACATAAACCCACTCACTGTTTAAACCATACCCGCGATCTAGTTCTGACGTATGGAATTGGAACAGTCTTTCCACAGAATCCCTCTCTATCAGACCATTATTTAATAACTTTGGATTTCTTTTTACTCTATTACACGCCAGTCAGCAACAGTTACTATACTAGATGTTTATCAGATAGTGCTGTCGCAAAATTTAAGGCAAAGATTCCATCGACGTTGAATTTAATACCATGTCCTTCTGTGACAGAGGTTTCCCGTACCCACTTTAAACTCGAATTGATCATCTTGTCGATAGCGCTGCAGGCTCGCTGCGAACAACACTCGACTCTGTAGCACCTCTTAAAAAGAAGTTAACAAAGCAAAGAAAGTTTGCTCCTTGGTACAACTCTCAAACAGAAAAAATTAAAACAAATATCACTAAAATTTGAAAGGAATAGGCGATTAACCAAACTGGAAGAATCTCATTTAGTCTGGGAACAAAGTCTCAAAACGTCTAAGAGGGGCCTCCGCAATGCCAGGGCAAACTATTACTCAGCATTAATAGAAGAAAATAAGAACAACCCCAGGTTTCTTTTCAGCACTGTAGCCAGACTGACTGAGAGTCACAGCTCTATTGAGCCTTGTATTCAATTAGCCCTGAGCAGTAATGATTTTATGAGCTTTTTTAATGACAAAATTCTAACTATTAGAGGCAAAATTCATGACCTCTTGCCCTCAAACGGAACCAATCTGCCCTCAAACACAGCTATAAGACCTAATATATATTTAGGTAGCTTCTCCCTGATTTCTCTTCAACAGTTGACCGCAATGATTTCTTCATCTCAATCATCAACGTGTCTCTTAGCCCCCATCCCAATTAGGCTACTTAAGGAAGTCTTACCTTTCATTAATTCTCACATATTAGACATGATCAATATATCTTTATTTACAGGCTATGTACCACAGTCTTTTAAGGTAGCTTTAATTAAACCTCTTCTAAAAAAACCCACCTTGGATCCAGAGGTGTTAGTCAACTATAGACCAATATCTAATCTTCCCTTTCTGTCAAAGATCCTTGAGAAAGTAGTCGCACTCTATATATTTCCATTGTTATGCGGATGATACACAATTGTATTTATCGATGAAGCCAGAAGAAACTGATCAATTAACTAAACTTCAAAAATGCCATAAAGACATAAAAACCTGGATGGGCACCAATTTCCTTATGTTAAATTCAGACAAAACTGAAGTTATTGTTCTTGGCCCCAAAAAACTCAGAGACTCTTTATCTGATGATATAGTTTCTCTGGATGGTATTGCTCTGGCCTCTAGCACTACCGCAAGAAACCTCGGAGTAATATTTGACCAAGATTTGTCTTTTATTTCCCATTTAGAACAAACCTCACAGACTACGTTTTTTCATCTGCATATTATTGTGTAAATTAGGCCTATCCCATTCTCGGAACCCATCGGCTGTATTCGGCATCTGACTTCCGGCAGATGGCGATACAGCCTCTGGGGGCAGACCCCCGATTTTTTGGCATTCCGGTTTGATTTGGGCGGAGGCGAATTTCCGTTTCCGACTTCCATTTATATATAATAAGTAAATATGCTGAACCATTGCAATGGATTCAGAGTTTGCAGTGACACCAATTATGTTCCACCTCGTTAGTTCACCGCACGGACCGTTTAACCTGGCAACACCTGCAGCCGGCTCAAACGTGATTGATCAATATCACGCGGACTATAAACAGCCTACAACTGGAAACCAGGGCTCTTCCGCTCTTCTTTCGGAGGCAAGATCTCCGGGGTTTGCCTACAGACTCTACATTCACTGAATGTAGAGTCTGTATATAGAGACTAGGCCTATCCTGACCCGAAAAGATGCAGAAAAATCGGTCCACGCTTTTGTTAACTCTAGGCTGGATTACTGTAACTCCCTATCATCAGTTAGCTCTAATAAGTCTTTAAAAACTCTCCAGCTAATTCAGAATGCAGCAGCATGTGTATTAACAGGAACTAAGAAACAAGATCATATTTCTCCTGTTTTAGCTTCTCTGCACTGGCTCCCTGTAAAATCCAGAATTTAATTTAAAATCCTACTCTTAACTTACAAAGCTTTAAATGGTCAGGCTCCGTCATATCTTAGAGAGCTCATAGTGCCCTATTATCCCACCAGAACACTGCGCTCTGAGAATGCAGGGTTACTCATAATCCCTAAAGTCACCAAAAGTAGATCAGCTATCAGGCTCCTCTCCTGTGGAATCATCTTCCTGTTGTGGTCCTGGAGGCAGACACCGTCTCCACATTTAAGACTAGACTTAAGACTTTCCTTTTTCATAAAGCTTATAGTTAGGGCTGGCTCAGGCTTATTTTGGACCAGCCCCTAGTTAGGCTGACATAGGCCTAGTCTGCCGGGGGACCTCCTATAATACACTGAGCACCTTCTCTCTCTCTCTCTCTCTCTCTCTCTCTCTCTCTCTCTCTCCTTTGCTAACAGTCATGTCCTGTTACTGCATCTCGTTAACTCGGCTGTACTGCATGTCACTAACTCGGCTTCTTCTCCGGAGCCTTTGTGCTCCACTGTCTCACAGGTTAACTTATATCGCAACGGTGCCTGGATAGTGTGATGTGTGTGGTTGTGCTGCTGCCGTGGTCCTGCCTGATGCCTCCTGCTGCTGTTATCATTAGTCATACTTCTACTGCTATTGGACACATATGCTTATTGTCACATATGTATACTATCAGATATTAATATATACTTTCGACATATTGTACCACAATAGCCATAATTAGAATTATAATACTATTACTTTAATTCATGTTGTTGTAAGCTACTGTCATTACCGTCTGTCCTGCATCTCTCTCTCTGTCTCTGTCTCTTTTTCTGTCTCATTGTGTCATATGGATTACTGTAAATTTATATTGTTGATCTGTTCTGTACGACATCTATTGCACGTCTGTCCGTCCTGGAAGAGGGATCCCTCCTCAGTTGTCCTGAGGTTTCTAGCATTTTTTTCCACGTTAAAGGGATTTTTTGGGGGAGTTTTTCCTTATCCACTGCAAGGGTCCTAAGGACAGAGGGATGTTGTATGCTGTAAAGCCCTCTGAGGCAAATTGTGATTTGTGATATTGGGCTTTGTAAATAAAACTGATTGATTGATTGATTGATTGATTGATTAAAGTGAGTAGAAGATAAACTGATCTCCAAAAGGCATGAAGTTAAATATGAAACATGCTTTTCAACATTTTAAGCAAGATTAGTATATTAGTTTTGTTTTGTACAATTTTAGAGTGAAAAAAAGGAAAAGAGCACCATGCGCAAGTTTGGGCACCCAAAGACATCTGACCTCAGACAACTTTCATCAGGGTCTCAGACCTTAATTAGATTGTTGGGGCTATGGGTTGTTCACAGTCATGGTTAGGAAAGTCCAGCTGATGCAAATTTGAAAGCTTTATAAATACTCTGACTCCTTGTCCCGTCAATCAGCAGCCATGGACTCCTCTAAACAGCTGCCTTGCACTCTGAAAACTAAAATAACTGAAGCCCACAAAGCAGGAGAAGACTGCAAGAAATTAGCAATGGGTTTTCAGGTAGTTGTTTCCTCAGTTCTAATAAAATTAAGAAACTGCAGTTAACAAGAACTGTGGAGGTCAAGTTGAGGTCTGAAAGACCAAGAAAACTTCCTGATAGAGCTGCTTGTAGGATTACCTAAAAGGCAAAATCCCTGTTTGACTGCAAAAGACCTGCAGGAAGATTTAGCAGCCTCTGAAATAGTGGTGGTGCACTTCTACTGTGCAGTGACACCTGTATAAATATGACCTTCATGGAAGAGTCATCAGAAAAAAGCCTTTCCTGTGTCCTCACCACAAAATTCAGCATAAGAGGTTTGCAAAGGAATATCTGAACAATCCTGATGCTTTTTGGAAACAAGT